ACGGACGGACAGACGGACAGACGGACGGACAGACAGACGGACGGACGGACATACGGACAGACGGACGGACAGACGGACGGGTCAAAAACATTTTACCCTCTGCAACTTCGTTGCGTGGGTTATAAAAATGTGAATGAGTTAAAGAGGCCAAGCAATACGCAAAAAAGAATTTTTTCATGTTTAAATTCGATTGACGTTCTGGTTATCACCACATTAATATACATCCAGAACATCAGAAATTCTAGGTTTTTCTTGGTAATTGATGGACAAGAAAGATATTTTATTTTCCCAGTTTTACCTTTTGGGCTATCTTCTGCTAGACATATTTTTACTAAAGTTGTTTGTACATAAGTTAACTTTTGAAGATCACAAAGTTTCCCGATCATTGTGTATTTGGACGACGGATGGGATTGTGTTTACGTATGTCCAAATCTGTTTTACATACTTTATTGAAATCTGGGTTTTTACCAAATTTTGAGAAATTAATTTTTTCACCAGTGCAAAAATTAGACTTGTTAGGGTTTTTTTTATGGAATCTATTATCTGGTGTTATTGAAGTTCCCCAAAAGAAAATTGAAAAAATACAGTTCAAAATCGAAAAAATTCTTTCAGATGATTGCTCAACTGCTAGACATTTGGTATGTCTTTTCGGGAAGATTATATCTTTGATTCCAGCTTTTGGTCATATTTGCCAATTCATGACACGTAATTTATACATGTCTGTTTGCCAGAGAAATACTGGGGACTCATATTTTGAAATGTCCACCCAAGTCAAAACCGAACTGGAGTTTTGGAAAAGTAATTGTAAATCTATACCAAATTTATTAGTATGTCCTATACACAAGATTCCAGAAAGTATTATCTTTTTCCGATGCCAGTATGTATGCTTGAGAAGGTTTAGTCGAAGGCAATGTTTTACAAATTGCTCATTATATGTTCAGTGAACAAGAAAGACTTAAGAGCTCCACCTAGAGAGAGTTGAAATCTGTTGAGTTTATATTAGAAAGTATGTTTGCACAGTTAGCCGGATTACTTGTAAAAATTTATAATGACAATCAAAATGTCGTGTATATTTGTCGAGTGGGCAGCATGAAGCCTGATTTGCATGAACTTGCTATGAATATTTTATAGCTGGCATAGTTAATAGTATAACGATTGAAGTTGAGTGGATCCCACGATTTAAAAATGTACAAGCAGATTACTTTTTCTTTATTTTGATGACTTAGCTGTCAGTTTGGGGGAATTTACTTTAGATAGATTTGCAGACGATAAAAATCAAAAAATTGCTCGGTTTATTTCAAAGTTTTGGGTTCCAGGAACTGGAGGAGTCCACGCTTTCGCTTTCGACTGGTCAGGAGAAAAAAACTGGATTGTGACTCCGGTTGGGTAAGTTTGCCGGGTATAAAAACATGTGTTAACTTGTCGTGCAAAAGGTGGATTGGTAGTTCCTAAAAGGAAGTCTGTTCTGTTTTGGTTTATGGTTTGGAACAACACAGAAAACAAATTTTACGATTTTGTTACATATTTTGTTGAATTTAATCGTCCTAAACATTTCGTTTTATCTGGTTCAGACAAAGACAGTGTTTTCGGTCAATCCCCATTCATCAGTAATGTCCTTGTTTTTAAACTTGATCGTTCATCCTAGGAGGTCACATTCTGTTGTACGTTCAATGCACATTTTTACTATATCGGGTGTAACATTTTGTGAGGGAAGGTGTGCTATACCACTGTTCATTTCAATGCAATTTTTGACAATACTACTATACCAATCAGAATGATTTTTTTTGCAGTGTTTTAAAAAATGATTTTACTTTGTTGTCACGTATTATTTGTGAAACATTGAAAGTTTTAAAAGGGCGAATTTTCTGTATAAAGTCAGTAATTATGTAGACTTTTGAAGCTCAAACTTTCTATTGCTTCAAATACGCAATTGAAAGATAAAAAAACTATACCAATACAGAACGACAAGTTTATGAAAATACAATTAAAGATTTGGTTCACATATTTTTATTCGTTATTGCAAAAAAATGAACTTAAAATATCTGTCATTTTCTCCCTACCCAGTTTACCCCTATTACTTATTATGATGTGGACCGGTCATTGTTATTGAATCTTACGCAATTTGATTGGATTAAGTTATGTATTAGTTTACCTTTAAACTGTTTATGCTTTTCACAAATGTATATTGATTAAATCAGAACGTGCATGCATGTGTACAGTAACTTAAATTACCGTCAAACTGGACACTGGACGAGTCCATATTATGTTTTATCAATGAAAGTAAAGATATGAAAGGTAAGAATTGCCACTTCTTGTATTTTCACAAATTTTCCGAATACACTGTAGATAAATTATTTATGTATTGCCTATTGCAGAGAAAAAAGAGAAAGTTTACAAATGAGACGTTTTATTCCATAAAACAAGTCTTTTTTCGAAGAGAAATGTCGAAATACATTTTACGCACGGTTACGCCAGGTAAAATTATTGTTTATCTTAACACAAAAAAAAACATTTTTCAGTCTCATTGGAATATATTAATAAAAATTGATTCCAAACTAAAGTAATCATTAAAAAATAAAGTCAAAATATGTCCGATCTGACTATTTTTGGACATCTAAAGTCAATACGATCGTTTTAAGGTCAATTTCGTCTACCTCACAAAATCTTGTTAGGCACTTTACAAGGTAAAATACACGTATCTCAATAGGTAACTACTACGGAATATACTATACGCTAACATATGTATACATAATTAGTTGTATAGATTGAAAGAATGGAGATGCACCCTGTGCAGTTATAATTGAGAAGCACCTTGTGCAGGTTATAATTGAGAAGCACCTTGTGCAGTTTAAGTACAAAAAATGCACATTGTGCAGTTTATAACTTAGGAGCACCTTGTGCAATTTAAGCACAATAAATGCACCTTGTGCATTTTACAATTGAAAAGCACCTTGTGCGGTTAAAGTACAAAAAAATGCACCTTGTGCGGTTTAACAACAAGGATGCACTTGTGCAGTTAAAAATGAAATATGCACCTTGTGCAGTTATTGGATAAAAATGCACATTGTGCAGCTGTTAAAGATGCACTTTGCATGATTGTTATGTTATAATGATATATATTTATTATTTAGCTAAGTTGTTGTGCTTAGTTTCATTTATGATTCATTATTACAGGACAGTGCAACATGGAGGGGCATTTCACAGTTTGCGAATTCAAATCAACAGTTTACCGGATGTGAAAAAAAGCATATTCAATATTGAGAGAAGCAGTAAAAAGTATGATGTGTATTTCAAAAAATTTAAAGAATGGTTTATTACATATAAAATTATTACGTTGCCCGCAAGTGTTTTATCCGTTGCAGTTTATGTTAGTGGACTTGTTCAGCAATCCGTATCTGATTCAGTTTTATTAGCTCATTTTTATAGCATAAAGTGGTTTCATGATTTCAGTTTAGTGTATAATCCGTATGAAGACAAGCTTATTCAGATGATGACTGAAGGAGCGAAGAGAATTCTAAGTAAACCAATTTTGAAAAAAAAAGAACCAATTACAGCAGATCATTTATAGAAGATAGTAGACAAAATTGGTATTGATCGTTCTCATTTGCCGAATGTTAGAATTTGTGCGATGATGTAAGTTGGTTATGCAGGATTTTTACGCTACAGTGAGATTGCAAATTTAAAGATGTGTAACATGAAAAATGTTGACACTTATGTTTCTTTGAATATTGAATCTGGGAAAACTGATGTATATAGAAGGGGTAATATTATTATAATTTCTAAAACAAATGTGTCCACCTGTCCAGTAGTCTGGTTATTGACATACATGAATTTAGGTAAACTGTATTTGGATTCTAATCAATATGTTTTTCGTTCTGTTAGATTTTTGAAGTAAAAAAATTCTTATAAGTTAGCAGAAGTTAATCGTCCTTTAATTCATACAAGAGCTAGGGAATTACTTTTATGCACATTAACTGCGATTGGTCTTGATTGTAAACATGTTTGTCTTCATAGTTTGCGCAGTGGTGGTTCCACTGCTGCTGCAAGAAATGGTGTTTCTGGTCGTTTAATAAAAGAACATGGAAGGTGGCGTACTGATTTTGCTAAAGACATTTATATTAAAGATTCTGTTTAAAGGCAACTAACGGTTTCGTCAAATCATGGTATATAACGAGTTATAGACATTTATCTGTTGGTGTTATTATTCAGCTCAATTATACTAAACCTTTACTATTTTCCCTTTGTCCCGAGGTTATAGCGAGTAGCACACCTACATTATGTCTTTTGTTCTTTGTTAAGGCCATAGACTATAATTACTTTATATTCGGACGAACGTAGTGAGGGAGAATATAAATAAAATTTAGTTCGTTGTACGTTTCATGAATATTCATGATATGTGATCATTTGTTTGCACTTTAAACCCGTGCGGTGATCTTTCTGACCATCGACTCTCGTTATAGCATAAAGAAGAGACACATGTATTTGTGGATGATTTAATATGAATTTGCCTTTTTTATTATGACATTATTGTTATTTTGTGTGTATTTGATACATAAGATATAGAATTACAGGTTATAGCGAGTAGCACACCTACATTAGGTCTTTTGTTCTTTGTTAAGGCCATAGAATATAATTACTTTATATTCGGACGAACGTAGTGAAAGAGAATATAACCTAAATTAGTCTATTGAAATATGGCGACTTTTTATAGTAATATCGAACCTTTTGCAATGATGTTAGCTTTTTTACAGCTCTTATGAAAGGTAAACAATATTGAGCATTCTGATTCAATGCACTTATCTTTGTTCTCGCATACACCGTGAAAGTAGTAGGACTGGGTGTATCCAAAGTGTAAGCATCCCAAGCTCTGCATTCAGCACTGTGTTTGTTGGTGGGTAGGCTTGTGTATTGGGATAAAGCGTGTCGATGGGTGGTGGTTGGCTGGCTTTGTTGGTTCGTTTTCGGTTATATTAAGACATGGTTTATTTTTACTAGCCTACCTTGTCAGCATTAGAGGGCCACAAACGTCCGGTTTCTCCAACGTATAATCAGATATACATGTGAATTCTGTAAAAAGATACGCAACACACAATGTTAGTCTGTGTTACATTATTATATACGCTTACATTTGAAAACTCGAAAAACGTTTTAAAACTATGTGCTAAAGTTTTGAATAGTGCCGAATTAAACGAAATCCATTATTAGACTGTCACTTTGTTTTAAATTTATTTTTTATGTCTGCCATTTTTAAGTGACCATTGATCTCTATTGATAGCTGTTATCATTTGCAATCATACTATTATCCATTGATTTTACAATTTTCAAAATGGTATCAACTATTTAAAAAACATTTCAAGTTTTGAAATGGTAATGGGTTTGGGGAAATAAGCCTTAGTGTTCATCGTAAACAATAATCAAAATATTCAATTGAGTTGCCTGATTTGCATTCAGAAATAAGGTAGAAAATGATATAGATATAAGAAGATGTGGTATGAGTGCCAATGAGACAACTCTCCATCCAAGTCAAAATTTATAAAAGTAAACCATTATAGGTCACAGTACGGTCTTCAACACGGAGCCTTGGCTCACACCGAACAGTAAGCTATAAAGGGCCCCAAAAAATTACTAGTGTAAAACCATTTAACGGGAAAACCAACGGTCTAATCTATATAAAAAACGAGAAACGAGAAACACTTATGAACCATATCAACAAACGACAACTACTGAACATCAGATTCCTGACTTAGGACAGGTGCAAACAAATGCAGCGGGTTTAAACGTTTTAATTGTACCAAACCTTCACCCTTTTTCTGAAACAATAATGTAACATCACAACATAGAAAGACACACTATAAAATATCAACTGAAATCTTAACTCAATCAAAGGACATATTAACACCATTGAACATACACTGAACAAATAAATTTGACCTATGACACAATGTAAATACAAAATAAATAAACTAAGGGAAGAATAATAAAAGTAACATGTTATATCGGTACGAAATGTTAAACAATTAAAGAAAAACAATATGCTCGAACAAAAATACCATCCATTTGCAATAACTTTAAACACAGGTAAATGAAAATAATTTTGTTGTTAGGTATACCTGTACAGTACCAATAGAGAAAGGAAATATTTTTACAAAATAAATAATTTTGAATACAAAATAAATAAACTAAGGGAAGAATAATAAAAGTAACATGTTATATCGGTAAGAAATGTTAAACAATTAAAGAAAAACAATATGCTCGAACAAAAATACCATCCATTTGCAATAACTTTAAACACAGGTAAATGAAAATAATATTGTTGTTAGGTATACGTGTACAGTACCAATAGAGAAAGGAAATATTATTACAAAATAAATAATTTTGATGTTCATAGTACGAAGTGAAAATTTATAGTTATACCAAACACTTATCAAAGCTGGTATATAGACCAGATATAACCCTGAATAACATTAAATAACAAAAAAGCAATACAATTAGTATCAACAGGTCAAATAAACAAGAAAGTACGATTTGAGAGTACTCGCAGTTACTGACAGCTAGTTAAAAGCCAAAACAATTAATAATAAAAAATCATGCATCAGAGACTAAAATCAACTAAAACACATCCCAGGGATTTAGTATTTTAACGTCATGAACAGTCAAAGAAGACATGACTAGTGCAATGCCAAAAATAAATGTATCGACAGACAGTAGGATAGTTAGGAGTTTAACATCTTTATAGATCTAATCGAACGTGGGTGTTAGATATGCCTTTGTCTTTGATAGAGCGCACACGCTTAGATTATTGCAATGAGCTTTCAGCTCAAATGACCTCTTGAATGGTTTCATTCAAGATGTCATTTAATTGTATGCTCAATTTGAACATGAAACATGATTTCTCTTTTTATGCATTTCAGTTATACAAAGTGTTAAAAGAAACTTCTTATATTTTGAGACATTTTAATACAAATGTATTTGAGACATTAATAAAACATGAATTTAACAGCCGTTAATTTTCTTACAGTGTTTAAATATACATCGTACGATCATTAAGTGACGTATTATATTTTGTCTTAATTACATGTTAAATCGATCGATTTCAGAATTTGAGTTACAGTTATATTTTATTCCATATTCGGTTCCTATGTTAATCAAATGCATCTTCATTACGTTAAAGCTATTTAACAAAATTTGAAATATAAAATAAATAGAAATTGTGTGAGATTTATTCATTTAAAATTGATGTTTTATATTGTCTACTCGGTAATGGAAATAGCAGTAGCGAGTATCAATGAATCATTCTTTTACAAACCTAGAAGGATATAAAATGATAAAGGCTTAAACAACTATACTAGTGATGTAACAATATCTCATTGAACTAAAAAAGCAGATAAACATTTAGAAAAGAACTTTTAAGTTGAATACCATAGTGAACCATGATCTACATTATTTGTTTAGCTACATTTTCTGCATATTGCGAATGAGTCTGATAAGTAATTATAGATTAATTTCAAATCGCAAATTTATATATGAATATGATTATTTTAAAATTAATTCCTTAACGCATGCTTTATCACCAAAATGCTAGTTACTTTGAATAACAGTAAAATTATTAAATGATTTTTTTTTAGGAAATAATGGAAAGGAAATTTAAATTGCAGTTGAAGCTGTTACAGGTTGGGTTTTTTTTTTGTTGTTGTTGTTGCTTTATTTCAAGATATAGAGTTATCTGTTTGAAGACAACATGTTATCCCTTCATTCATGTAACATTGTGTTAGCAAGTATAATACTTAGATTACCTGAAGATAGATGTGTTTTATCAGGACATGGCTTCAGATAACATGAACAATCTCCTTCCGATGGTACACAGTAACACGGATTACTTGGCTTTTGTATTGGTGCATAGCTTTTGGAATAGTCACACCGACATGATGTATCTTCTGTTGTAGATCCATTGCTGTAAATAATTAGTCCTTCCTCGCTACAATAAGACTTTTTAATCACACACTCACTACTCTCGTTTGTTTTAAAAATGAAAGGTTGGTATCGACTTTTATTGCAGTTTTCTCCATCGAGATTTCCTCTGATTACATATTTGTTACCTGTGTTAATACAATAAGCATGATTAGAAGGAAATAATACTGTAAGAAAGTACATGAAATTCCTTTATTCTTCATTGTTAAGAATCAAGAAGATAATGAGATTGAAATGTTATAGCTCAGACATGTAAATATATAGTCACAGAACAGCAGATTGTTTCGGGCTTATTTTTGTAAGTTAGTTGTATTTAGTCGTTATTAGGACATTTTTAAAGATAAACACTCCCCAACAAAGATACGAAGCAAAATCAGATATTGTTTAATTGTATCGTTTTGCAATTTTCTGAATAATAGTTTAAGTAATTTAAGTAAAAGAAACCACACATAAATAAAACGCTCATATAAACCGACACAAGTGTTACTTCCTTACATTTTTAAGAAGAATCACTACAATATTGCATAGCTAAACAAAACATCGTAATTTAAGTAAAAGGGCTTTAGCTGTTAATTCATATTCATAGATTTGTCTCAATTTCTCATATTTGATTTATAACATTCTAAAACGTATATCCAAAATATAATAAGTCTGAAATAAACATTTAAAAATACGTGTACTCAATAAAATGTATCAGAATTTTGTGGGTATTTAAGTCTAGCGCCATCTAATTACCTATCAAGATGAACTCCGAAGACTGCCGACAGTCACATAACCCAATATAAACATAAACATAAATATAAATAGATAGCTTCCTCGTGCAATTCGACTTTTCTAGGGATGTTTGATTTCATGTTGTAGGTTAAAAAATAAGTTAATTATCGTTCACCTGTATAACAATAATTTTATTTTTATCGAATCAGTCAACGAAATGGTTCATCATTGTTTCACTTTCAATGTTGACATTCTTTTTCGTTTAAAAGCTAAACACAACTATAACATGCGCAACCAATCTCCAGGTAATGAGTTAGATTGAAGGTCACATAAAAAAGGATTCCATAAAATCGAATTATTCTCTTGCAATTGAATAACTTATCACCGAAATGTCTTTGCTTATTATAACAAAATTGAACCAAATTGGCTTCTAACAGCGAATTATTATTTCATTAATTCACTTTTATTAATAATTGAAACAAACAAAATCATGTTCAATTTTTTTTTCTCATCTCGTAGCCAATGCCACTTTAATTAAGAAGTTATTTTTGATAAACTAATAGCTATTTGTACTCATTTGCACCAATTTTATATACAAATATGCAAACATATATGCGTTGATATCTCTTTTTATTACATGTAAATGATGTTTTGTAGAATAATACGAATTTACACTTTCCTTATTTTTTAACAAATTAATTAGTCTTTGAAAAACATAAGGCAGAAAGAAGACTACTTTCGATTTACAAAATGCCCCAATTGATAGCTGTCATTGCAAAAACTTATAAAATATATAATTTTCCTTCCAATTTGTGAAGTTGCTTCGCTACTTCCGGTTTACAGTATGTCACTTCCGGTAAATATCAAAGGTTTCTTCATGCTTAATCCGACATTGTTTGGTTTTTAGATACTTTTACATGAATTGAAGGCAACAAATACTTCTTCCGATCGACTCATTGTCACTTACGGCTACTTTTACAGGGTTAAACGTTCATTCAGCCTAATGCAAAGACCTTTGGGTTTATCAATTACCAGTATAAAGATAAAATCAGTCAAACTTTAAATTGTCAACATTAATTTTGACCTTGACCTAAATATTTAGGTCAAATTAAAGGTCATAGAATTTATATCAATAGATTCCAGGTTCATAATATGTATGGTTCAGAAGTATTTCCATGATATGGCAAGAATACTAACTATCTATATCAAACTTAACTGTATCCTCCCCCTTGTCGTCATTTTACTATATCCAGATGACTGACGAATCAGATGATTCTGCATTGACATAGTACAGTTTCAAATAAAAGCTGAGATTGAAATTGACCAAAGCCACATTTTGTAAGTCAATTCAGAGACTTTCACCCTTTTAATCTACGTTACCGGTTGTACGATAAAGATAAGGCGGATAGTCCATGTAATTCCATTTTTCAACTTTACCTATATAACTGAACTTCTTAAACTACACGTTTTCGTTATTTACACAATTGACAACTTACAAGAATAAAATCAAAACTCGCCCTACATAATGGAAAACGGTATCGTGGTGTATAACATTTATCAGGAACTAGCATATGGCCCACAGAAAAGACAGAAAATGTTGTCTTATCCGATAACATCACCTTTAATGGAACGAAACTTGTTTCTAAAGAACAGAAATTAAAACAAAAAACTCTGAAAAATACACTCACGGCCAACTTGATATCTTGTAGTTATAAAACTATTTATTCTGGCGAGGTCAGGAAGAACAAGGACTTACATGTAGTAACTTTGTGAATGATTATAATTATATCTATGCATTTTTTATATTAAATACACGTCAAGCTTAGGAACCTGGGGTGGTGTTCTCGAATCTATATTAGGATTAGGACTTGTCCTAAGTCCATCTCATGACACGTCTTTGTCGTGTTCTCGAAGCTCTCTTAACTTATAATTAAGATATATCGCATTTTTCTTCCTAACTTTAGGACACCTAATTAGGTGTCTTAAGATCATCCTATCTTCATCCTAACTTAATAAGGTTTGGATTTCGCTTTTTGCTCATTATTTTACGTGAAGATAAACATGAAATGAAACGCACCATTGGTTATTACCTCGTATACAGAGAAATTGTGAATGATTTTAAACTTTGAACTTCGTGTTTCATGATACGATGACACTACAAATTAAATTTTCATTTCAAAACAAATTTTATTCCAGTTAAGATTTCTTTTTGATATAATTTTTTATAATTAAATTTGAAATCATGCCTATAATTATATACGTGAAATTATAAAATTCGTAAAAAATTTTATTAATTGGTTTCGTTGTTATCAAATGTTTTATTAAAAATTTACTTTAACGATTTAAAATATCGCACTTAAGATATGCTTAGGACGTCCTAACATAAGATCCGTCTGAGATAGCTTCGAGACACAACTGAAGTGTGTCACAAGATGATCCTAAGTCCATCATAAAATTGGCTAAGGAGGTGTTTAAGGACTAATCCTAGGATTCTTTCGAGAACACAACCCCTGGAGTCACTGTAGAACCCCTGTTGAAAGTATTTTAGATGAGCATGATGTTCGTGCATTTTCACCATTAAAGACAAAATAGAATTCGTTACCAAGATTTCTTTTTGCAGATTCTGTTTTCAGTATCACTCTTTCTTTTATAGTTTTTGTCCAAAATACAAAAGTGAAAACAAAAATCGTCATAAAAAGGCACTTTTTCTCAGAAAAAGACGTACAATGTCGACTTGAATGAACCTATTTATAAATCTGAGGCCTGTTTATCGACGCTCTCTTAGGACTAGGACGTGTCCAAAGATCACCTTAGGACGTATCATAGTTCTAAGTGGGTTTATCAAACATATAGTAACTTAAGGAAAATCGTAGGAAACGTCCTAAATAGATGTCTTAAGATGATCTGTTTCTGTTGTTTCGTTGTTTTCCTCTTATAGTTGATGTGTTTCCCTCAGTTTAGTTTGTAACCCGGATTTGTTTTCTCTCAATCGATTTATGACTTTCGAACAGCGGTATACTACTTTTGCCTTTATTTAGGATGGTCCTAGCTTCAAGATATATTTTATGATAGTAAATTTATATATAAATACGATTGACTCCTATATATAGATCCCCCTTTTCAAAATATTTTTCTATGTTCACTTATTAAATGAGTTCTTGCTCTTATCCAAAAGATATTGCATAAAACAGTAGTATATGTATGACACCACTCTACTCATATTTTCCACGTGAAAAATGAGACTAGAGGGCATCGTATGTATATATAAGGGTTTAAGAACATTTGTTGTTCGACCTGTTAGTCAAATGCGTTTTGTTAAAATATACTTTTTCACTTTTTTGGTTTTTTGCAAAATGTTGTTTGTTCTGTATTTAGACCGCTCTAACAAGAAATATGTTTTGCATGCACACGTATAAAAATTGCGGTTTTTATCCAACGCCATCATAGGTTTGAACGTTGTTTTCAATTTAGACTTGTTTATATTTTTTCGTTTGGGCTTGTATTATATTTGCCTTCGGGTTTATATGATCCGTTCATCCTATTTTGACTCCTCAAAATTCAGGAGTCTATCCTAAATTGAGGTAAATTGTATGGCTTTCCAAATACCGTTTCGATTCCTAACATCACTGAAGAGACGTTAATTGTCGAAATCCGGATATGGTGTACAAAAACCTTTGCACCTTTTGTTTGCGGCATAACGTCTTTTCCGCAAGTTTATTGTTTTCTATTTAGTATTAAATTTATATTTTAGATCCATTTATTACATCGGTGATCCGTTTATTTGGCTATCGCCAATGGCAGTCAGCAGGGTTTAAGAACATGTGTTGTTCGACCTGTTAGTCAAATGCGTTTTGTAAAAATATACTTTTTCACTTTTTTGGTCTTTTGGAAAATGTTGTTTGTGCTGTATTTAGACCCCTCTAACAAGAAATTTGTTTTGCATGCACACGTATAGAAATTGCGATTTTTATCCAACGCAATCATAGGTTTGAACGTTGTTTTCAATTTAGACTTGTTTATATTTTTTCGTTTGGGCTTGTATTATATTTGCCTTCGGGTTTATATGATCCGTTCATCCTATTTTGACTCCTCAAAATTCAGGAGTCTATCCTAAATTGAGGTAAATTGTATGGCTTTCCAAATACCGTTTCGATTCCTAACATCACTGAAGAGACATTAATTGTCGAAATCCGGATATGGTGTACAAAAAAATTTGCACCTTTTGTTTGCGGTATAACATCTTTTCCGCAAGTTTATTGTTTTCTGTTTAGTATTAAATTTATATTTAAGATCCATTTATTACATCGATGATCCGTTTATTTGGCAATCGCCAATGGCAGTCAGCAGGGTGTAAGAACATTTGTTGTTCGACCTGTTAGTCAAATGCGTTTTGTTAAAATATACTTTTTCACTTTTTTGGTCTTTTGGAAAATGTTGTTTGTGCTGTATTTAGACCCCTCTAACAATAAATTTGTTTTGCATGCACACATATAAAAATTGCGATTTTTATCCAACGCAATCATAGGTTTGAACGCTGTTTTCAATTTAGACTTGTATATATATATATATATATATATATATATATATACATATATATATATATACAACACATAAAGTAAATGTATATATTAGGTTAAATTTTTACAGAATATTTACTTTGAAAAAAAAGTTCAGAAAAGGGGGTCTATTACCCAAGTGCATATGATCCGTAATGAAATAATTTTATGTATAATTCCTTTTTTTTTTATGTTTCCGTTTTAAATTTTCATTGGGTTTGGTGTTTTTTGATATTTTACTCTCTTTTTTTTCGGTATGCGTTTGAATAAAAAACAAAAGCATTTAATATAAGAAAATCTTGTTTTAATACACGTTAAAGAAATCAAACTTAAAGAAATGGTAAAGAAAAGAAATTCTGCAATATTTTGCTTCGGTAGTACCTAATTCTGAAAGCGATGATACTCAGAGAAAACTATTGATTGTGCTGTTATTTTGCAGTGTCATTTATATATAACAACTATCCCAACAATTTCAGTTGAAGTGTTCGTAATTCACTACTCCTCCGATTTTTTTTTACTTTTACATATGGATTTTGCTTGTAAAAATCCATCCGAAATAAAATTTAAAACGGGGATAACCGTTTTCGTTTATCAAATTCATGCTGTTGAAATAAACAGCACGATACGCCAAAAATACAAAAGATATAGGAAAAATCATAATAATAGGCAAATACTTTTACTTTAACAATATTTTCTATTTCGTTGGTCCACAGATTTTTTTTTAAATGATAACGACTCTAAAATGAACGACGAATCCATTAGTGCAACCATGCTAGTTTTCAAGCTTTATCCTGTGGAAGTTTGATTTTTAACCCCAGAAAATCAAAATATTCGGTGACATTATTGATGTTTACTGTACTAACTACACCACAACTTCTACTCTATAACGCTATTATACCGTACAGTGTCGTTACAAAATCGTGAGTGTGTATAAATCATTTTATATAATGATCATTGCAAATGCTCAAGCGTAGTCAATGTTAAGGAAATAAACTGACTAATGTTTAAGAATAATTCTGCTGCAAATTAAAAAAAATGCAAATAGGCAAATAAATATACTGCAAGTGAAAGAAAGTTACGGTATAGACTTTTATTCCATCTTTCTAAATTAGACAGGGTTCCATATCTTTTTTTGAAATGCTTGTATTGTTCAGTTCTTTATGAATCAAATATCGAGTTTGAAATTATCCCCGGTTAACACAACGTTAAAAAAATGATTCTATACATATCTAAGTAATCAGTTATAATATTCGAATCGCGTTTAAACGTTTTTTTGAAATCTTATTTCTGCATGTTTGTATTTAAAAAAAGTAAATATAATTTTCTGCATTTTTTCATCCTCACCTTTTTCGTTGATATTCGAGGAATTCCGCAAAAAACCCATTCTATTTGTCAGCTTCACATAAACGAACGTGTCACAACACAACTCTGCAATTTTATTTTTAAAAATTTCTGTCTCGATCGCTTTCCCTTATCTTTATTACACGACAAAGCATGGTACACTGTTTGCTCGAGTTTCAGTAACAAAGGAAATAATTCCTTGTACCATTATTTGTTAAATATCAATATCCCAAAAATAAGAAATCGGAATCTACATATATATATTATTATAATATCTTGAAAATTTTCATGGTTGTAATAAGGTCAAAAGAGGAACCCGCATATGAATTTCAGCAAAATTAAACAGATTGAAGTTTTTGATATAACTTCCAGTAGCACATATCATTCCCAATGTTTTGCTTTAGCATTGTGTATATCGTAATGCTATCGTGAAATGTGTCCTCAATAAGGACACAATTAAGTTAATTTCCTCTATATAAACAATAGAAAATAACTCAATTTCGCTAATTTCAATGGATTATTCATTGTTATTACGAAGAAAGAAAGTCCCTGATCCCAAGTTGTATATCAAAACATTGACCAGGAAGACTTTTACAGAAGTTTAAGAAACATCCATCGTCGAACATTAAGACACCCTAGCTACCTGAAATAAAGTGGATGTAAGCAATTATTATAAACAACATGCATACGGCCCTCAACCATGAGAAAAATCCATACCGTATAGTCGGATATAAAAGATGCCGACAATGTATACATTATTTTCTTCACCCTTTCTCCCTTCTTCTCCTACCTTATGAATACTCTTATATTTTATTCTCTCATAGTCTTCAATTGAAACTTGGGAAGAAAACAATTACTTCAAAATTGTATTCACTAATTCCAAATGACACAAAAGCACAACAAAAGAAAACACATTTGCTTTCTATTCTAATTCGAAATTTGATGAAGAAAAATAATAACATGTTCGATTCCTATCATACATGAATAGTTTCAGTATCAACCATGGTTCTAAATTCAAATTTTACTTTCACCGAAAATTGTGGACGGAATAGAAAAAAGTAAAATCACAAAAATACTGAACCCCGGGGAAAATTCAAAAAGGAAAGTCCCTAATCAAATGGCAAAATCAAAAGCTCAAACACATCAAACGAATGGATAACAACTGTCATATTCCTGACTTGGTACAGGCATTTTCTTATGTAGAAAATGGTGGATTGAACCTGGTTTTATAGCTAGCTAAACCTCTCACTTGTATGACAGTCGCGTCAAATTTCATAATATTGACAACGATGCGTGAACAAAAAAAAAACCAGACATAATAGAAAAAAATGTCAAAAATAGGGGTACAGCAGTCAACATTGTGTTATCATCTTAACCACTATAAAAACAAACTAACACCTCGCGTTTTTTTTTTGTTTTTTTTTTTTGCACCTTGAAAACTGAGATTTGGATCAAATAGATTTTACTTATTCTTAGATAAATGTTATAGTGCTCGGTTCTTAGTTTCAATGTAATGTTTTGTAGACAGAATCTGATGTATTATGTTTGCTGTTGGCTTTAATCTTCGACTTTAAAATGTTGCACTACTGGTCAATTACCTTTTAGTATTTTTTTTTTACTATTTACATTTATATAAATCATGTACTAAAATTTTCAATTTCATAAAAAACAGACATACTTACGTCTTTCAAGTTCAACACACAAATTAGCATACAATATTAATATACATTACCTACAATTTTAAGCTACACTGTGAATTTCATTCAAAACTGTTCCAGTCTATGGTTTTTCAAAACATGTTGTTGGGTTAATTCAGCTTTAAATTTAATTTTATGAATTTGATACGAAAAGAAGAAGAATTGTCATTGGTTTGTTTGTTTATTTGGTTATAATTTTGTAATTATTGGCGTTTTTATACATTTTATCACTATTTAGTCCAATCCGGAAAAAAACAGTCATTCAGACAACTTCCTGTTAGGGTCAACAGGCAAAAAAACAAAGGTCATCAGTAACGAGCTGAAGGATGAAAAAAATTAGAAAGCGATCAGTAGGAAACTTTTAATCCACTTTTTCGAAACTCAAATTATAGTCAAAAATATATTTTGTTTGAAGTATTTACGATGGTTTAAACAGGTCTCATTAAAAAGTATCATGCATGGTGCATTGTTTAAACAGGGTCCCAGATAGATTCAACTGGATGAAAAAGTTGTGTAATTTTAGAACTTACCCGGAATGGAATAAATAGCGATTAGGTGTATTTTCTGTTAAAATAAAGACGAGTCGTATTGTGCACCTGCTTTTTAAATATAGCTTGAATTCGTGATAGACTGCGTGAAGTCATTTCTCTTTAAAATCATGCACCTATTATTCCTTTTCTGGAGTATAGGCGATAAATCGCGTAACAAAAGACGCACTAGTTCGTTGCATTTCCGTTAAAAACTTTGGTTTTAGTGAACATCATTCGTGCGTTTAGGGGCGTCGTCACTTCCGTACCTATGTTGAGCGATTGGTTGAAAAAAATTATAAGAATTATTCGGCAAGTTGAATTCTTATAATTGATATTCAGCACTACTATCATTAGGGAATTGTGATCAAACAGAACAAATATTATTTGTAGTTTATCCTGCTTAATGACGACCACAAGGACGCTTGATGAACTTTGATAGAGCAGGGATACAGGAGATCCTCTCTATCTGTTAAATGACGTCACATAGGCGTACAAAATTGACGAACTTATCTGGTGAAGGACATAACTTAAAAGTGGTCTTTTGTCGCATGTACATTTGTTACTTGTTAATAGCAATTTTCAATTGAACATATTTCGAAACGGCACGTTTTCTAGGCTTTGCAAAACTGTTAGTCCCTAACAATCTTTTTAAGGGAGCATGCACTTACTAATGTTTCATTTCATTCATTCATATTTATCACTCGTCAATTAGATAATGCTTACCTTGTGCTAACAAACTTGGCGCTTCTCTACAAATTTCTCTGAACGAGTATTTGTTCTCATCATGCAAACAACTGTACCTTGTGGAACTTTTACACAGAGCTTTACCACGAATCTGCCAGCCTAAGGTCACAGGACATCGATATTCATATTTGCTTGAACAAACTCGTAGGGTTATTATGCTAGTCTGAAATGTGTAAGATTATGTATAGTTTTAAAAACACTTTAACATATTGACTATCTTTCAATCATACGTTGTTTCTATTTTTGTTTTATGTTTATGTCTCGTTTAGTAAAAGTAGCGATTAATAAGAACCAACTGATTGAGATTTGGAAGGAAAAATAAAAGGCAACTCTTATTCAATTGTTTGATCTTGAAAGTGAAAAAGAAGAATAATTTAGAAGGAAAAAGCAACTTGTTACTATTTTTGGTTTGTAGGTCAATTCTTTAAATATCTGTGCGTATCGAAAACAAAAGTAAACCCTGATATGGCTTTCAATTAACCCACAAACAACATTCTTGATAAAATATGCGTATACAAAAATACCATATAATTAAAAAAGATTTGTGGATTATGTGCTTTAGTTTAATTTACAAATGTATCTATGTACCAAAATATTTAATTCCCTTCAGAATCTTTAGCCCTGTCATGTTAATTCTTTAACACTACTGAGTACACAAATAACAAGAATGGTCCAAATGATTAATAATGGGTTTGACAAAAGGTTTGTAAGCTAGAAAAAAAACTTGAAAAAACATTAAATAATAGAAGTTAAGTGTTTTGTCTTTTTTCGACATGGTTTGTAATGCTGTAAAAAACAGATAAGAGAACATTAAGATAATATCTGAATAATATATGCTTTTCAAGACATATGAATGTTTTTATCGTGTACAAAAAATAAACTACTACTTAATTACCAAAGTTCAACTCATAAATCTAATCGGATACAATTGTGCTCACCCGAATAAAAAAAGGAACAAGGAATCGCATGATCAACTTCAAAAGCTCTATAACTTTTTTAAAACAAGTTTCTTTCAAAATTGCAAGTTAATTTTCATAATCTATTTTTCTTATTATAATGACAAATGTTTGGCGAAAATGTACACGAACATACACCAGAAAAATAATAAAAACGATGGAAAAAGAAATGTCAGTATTTTATTTCAACCGCAAAATTAATATATGTAAAAAGAATAACGCCAATTATACAGCGAGGATACACTCTTATTTGATTTAAATAGAAATGTTAATGTGTGGTATGAGTACTAGTGCCAATCAGACAATCCTCCATCCAATTCACAATGTGGAAAAAGGAAACAATTATAGGTCAAAGTACGGCATTCAACACGGAGCCTTGGCTCACACCGAACAGCAATATATAAAGGGCAATAAAACGACTAGTGTAAAACAATTCAAACAGGAAATCCAACGGTCTTATCAATAAAAAAAACAAGACATTTATGAACCACATCAACAAACGACAACCACTGAACAACTGGCTCCTGACTTTAAAAGACAGGTGCAAACAAGTGCAGCGGGTTTTAACGCTCAAGGCTTCAACCTTCACCATAACCTGAAACAAAAGTGTAACATTACAACATAGAAAGACACACTATAAAATACCAACTGAAATGGATAAATTCGACCAAAAAGACATACCGGCCGTATGTCATTGAACAAAAATAAGTCAACGTACACTGAACGAACACATTTAATCTATTACACAACATAAACATTGATAAATACAATATTAAAAAAGGGGATGTAAAACAATGTCAAAAGGACAACTCTAACCTTGGACAAAATGGCGCTAAATAAAACAACATACAAAGTAAATTTAAATATGATATTTTGTTGTTAAGAGTACGGAAATGTATATTTCAAAATAAATTTGTCATTCATATTACGAGAACAGAAGTGAACATTTATCGTCATACTAAATACTAAAAGTATGTGACATAAATCAATTTTGTAATAATATTTGTTAGTTTTTTTCACAAGTTTTCTTTTATTATCTATTATTATACATTCCTGATTAAATCGTTTGATCTTTTGGATGATATATTTGCTGTCAATAATGACGACTTCAGTCTGTACCAAAGAGATTTATTCGACGGAACTGACTATGAATAAAGCTAATACTAACAGTGAACACTGCCCTTTCCTGGATCTTGATATTTATATCTTTAACGGGAAGCTTAATTCATACCAAAATTTATGATAAAAGAGATGATTTTTCATTTATTTTCAATTATCCATTTTAAGATGGTGGCGTTCACTTGTCACCATCTTAGGGAGCAACCATTTAACTTCAAGGGGAGAGTTATGAATATTTTTTCACCCAACAAATTTATTTAGTTTTTCGACACGATCAATCAGATTATTTTGTTCAAAATTTAACTCTAAAAGGTATGGGGGAAATTTGCATTAAGATATTTTTATTTGTCATCTGCTTGACCAGAATATTTGTTTTTCATCAAATTGGGGATCAGAATATTTTTTAAGAAAAAAAAAGGATAACCCCCCCCCCCCCCCCCCCCCCCCCACCCTGGAAGTTAAATGGTCATTCCCTTATGGTGTTTATATACGTCAACTTGTTCGATTCATTCGTGTATGTAACAACGTATTTAATATTAACGAAAGAAATCTCTGTATTACTGAAAATTATTACACCAGGGTTTTTGATATCACAGATTGTCAAATCATTTACTAAATTTAATCATCCGATTCGGTACAAGGACATCATTCGTTAAACTAAATCAACATCCAGACATGTTGAACGTTCAGGTATTTCAATCTGAATGGTCATATTCTTTACAAAGCACAAAAATGTCGGTATTCACCTCAAAAAGCTAACCAAACCTTTAAAAGACTTATTAAGAAGGGATATAGTTACGTTACTGTTGTCAGGTCATTAAAGATGGCATATCTTGGTATTAATATTCATTCACTCATATGGTGTTTGCATTGGGAATGAACACATTTATTCCAAAACAAGTTGTTGGCATGATACGGTCTATGCTCTTCTCATTTTTTTTATGATGGTATTATACTCAATCTCAAACGGGTGGGATTGTGCTTGATTTTCATGTGATGAAAACATATTCTTTCATTCAGTTTGATTGAGGTCTGCAGCTAGCATGCCAGTTACTGCTAGTTATCCTTTGTTTATTAAAATATCATTGTCCTATTGCTTAGTTCCTTTGTTTACCTCCTCTGACATCGGACTCGGACTTCTTTTAAACTGAGTTTTAATGTGCTAATTACTGTGTGTTTGTTTTATTGTAAATTGACCAGAGGTACATTTTATAGAGGGAGAGGTTAAATCTCACAAAGCATTTTTAACCCGGCTTACATTTTTATGCCTGTCCAAAGTCAGGAGCCTCTGGCTTTCTTTGTCTTGTATGCTTTTTTATTTTAGTTCAAATATTTGTCTTAAAGTTTAGCATGACGTCCGTTTTCACTGAACTACTACATACTTTGCTTAAGGTGCCAGCTGATGCCCACCTCCAGGTGTTGGATTTTTCTGCTGTGTTTGAGACCCATTGGTGGCCTTGGGCTGTTTTTTTTTTTTTTTTTTTCTCTCTCTCTTTGGTCGGGTTGTTGTCTCTTTGACACATTCCCCATTTTCATTCGCAATTTTATTTTGTTTTACATATCTTACCAAAACTAGGAAAAGGTACATTTCTTCTAGCTCCTGTTTAGCCAATATAGAAATATTTTCCTGAAACATAAATATCTTAAATATCATATCATAAAATACATATAACCTAATGTCGATTTAATGGAAATGAAATCTTGTAAGGGTTCATTCCAGATAATTGAAGGTTTTTTGTTAGTCGCTTCTTATATAAATTTTGAGTTTTGTAAATTAAAACAATCTTATATGCTTTACATTTCTGAACATTTAACTTTATGGTGATACATCCTGTTGATATAATGCGCTTAGTCTATTGCATTCAATTTGGGTATGCTGTTCTCGAACCTTTTATTACATCTTTACACTAAATCTGTAAGATGTGTACTGATCGATACTTTAGTATTGAAAAACATGATTTATCTATATGTTGTTATTACTGATTTTTAACTTGCTTTCAATAACTTCGAGTACTCTCGGTCGACACTTATCTTTCGTCTTCCTGCTAGTTGTGATGTGCTATTAACTGATGTCAAAATCAATCCAGTCAATCCAGTTTCAACTGATATTTTAAATTTTGTTCTTATGTTGTACTGTCACACCACTGTCCAATGGTAGGCAAGGGATGAATATTTAAAAGCATGTAAACCCCCACCACTTTCTATATGAGCCTGTTCTTTGCCATGGTTCTGTTATTTAGTGGTTGTCATTGGTTGATGTTTGTTTTTCGTTTATTTTTTTGAAAAAAACCAAGCCGGTTTATTTTTTTCTTAAATTGTTTATCATTTTGTTATATTTGGACCTTTTATAGCTGACTAAACGGTATGGGTTTAACTTATTGTTTAAATACGGTGATCTATTTTTCAAAAATCTACGTTATTTGGACTCTGTTGGATAGTTATCACATAGGCAATCATACAACTTTTCCTTATATTTGAATACACCTACAAAGAACCTGGTATTTTCTATACACATTGCATTAGGCTCATCGTTTCCATTTCTGAATTTCATAAAAAGGCATATCATATATTTTGGAGGGGATGTATAGTCGCCGTCAGGTAAAATTGACACCATGTTTTTGGTCGAAATTTTTGTCCTACCAACCGCATTCATTCGAGATGACGATTTTCAATTAGCGGAATCAAAAATCTTTCCAAAAAACCAGTACTGTCCTACCTTTTGTTGTGATTGTACTGTATATTCCTGACCTTCACATTATCCAAGATTATTTTTTATTGTAATCAGCCATCATGGTTTCTATGAGCACGCTGAGGATCCTTTATTTGCATAACCGGTAATATCATTTTCATTGATGTGATACAGTTTCACGCGCTTTTTGCATATAACCAATTAAAATACACATCGCGGTATCAATTGTAACCGTTAGTAAAAAACAGTATGAAGGAAGGAAGAGATGAGGAACTTCAGGCATGCAAAACCCAGTTTTCTGTGTGCGTGGGGTTAGGGGGCTAGGAGGGTGTCGGTTGATATCAATTAGTTTTTATCTAAAGAAGTAGGGCATCTTTCCCCTGAATTGGTTATACTTACAGGGACAAAATCGCAAAGACCTACGTAGAGGCGGATTTAAGGAGAGGGCACTGACCTCCCATTTGTGGGAACAATTTGGTTGTTTGTTTAGGAAATCACTGGAGTGGTCCCCCTCTTATGGCAGTCAGTGCCCCCATCATATGAAAATTTTTGAATACGCCACTGCTTCCCCATAGAATACGAAGTTTATATAATATATTTATGATACCTAAACCGATTTAAACTATTTTTTCATATTTCCTTATATATTTAGTGATATACTGCTGTTAACGAAAATTTGCTAAGTACGCTAGTATGTTGATAATACCTTACCGTAAACATATGAATCTAATAATGTGTTTAACTGAAGATTGTACGACTTTTGAAAAATACCCTCGTTTTAAATGGATTCGTGGAAAATTGATCCTACCCCCTTTTTTGTTGTAAAAGGGAAGTGATAAAAATGTGTATTTCAAATCGAAATAGAGTTTGTATAAGAAGTTGAACCGTTATAGTAAAAAATTAATGAAAACAAAATGATTTGTATGCACATGATTACAATGCTACTGGTTGTGCTACGCCATTGAAACCTTTATCATGTTTTGTTAGAGTTTAAAATATATTGTTGTCTCCCGAAAATATACATGTAACATCCGTGAAAAAATGAATTAAAGATTAAGTATGTGGAAGTTTTGGATTACAAATATTTGTTTTTTCTTCCCATGCTCATCCATCGAAACGCCAAGCGTTTCTCGTCTGCGCCAATTTTTCATCTGTTTCAACATTGTACTATGTTTATACGTATTATTGAATTGGTTTACATACAAACATCAATTTAGTCCCAGCTCTTAATAAAAGTATATATTGATCAATCATTGTAAATAACCATAACAAACTTTTACACGGCTGAGTACATTCAATGAGCTAATATATATCATACGATAATTAGAGAAAGGTTCCGATTCAGGTATTCCTCACAAGTAAGTTTATGCATACGACTTGAGAATTTTACTTAACTAAGGGAATTCTTAATGAAATCTTAGTTTAAGGAACACTTAAGTTAAGATGTTTTATGCATACGGCCCTGTTGTGCAGTGGTTTTTGTTTTTTTGTTGGTGTAGTTCATTAGTGTTTCTCGTTTCTTGTTTTTTATATAGATAAGACCATTGGTTTTCCTGTTTGAAATGTGCTAAACTAGTCATTTTTGGGCTTTTCATAGTTTACTGTTCGGGGAAAGCCAAGGCTCGGTCTTGAAGGCTGTTTTTAGTCCTATATATGATTGTTTACTTTTTACACATTATGATTGGATGTAGAGTTGTTTCATTGGCTCTCACGCCACATCTTCTTATTTATAAATACTATGATCATAAAACCAAATAAAAACATCTTTAATTCAATATGAAAACGGTCTCCTACAAAAAAAAATATGTCAATTCAATATCTTCCGCTTTGACTGTGGGTATATAAGTACGATAAGGGCCTACACATTTTAGTACGTTTCACACGCTACACTTTTCTTTTAGAATGGGAAAACATTCAAAATAGTATAATTCCACTAAAGATTTAAATGAACATATTCATGTACGTCCGGTTAATTCTTACGTCCAATTACTGGTAATCATACGTTTTCTCTTTTTTTTTATGCCTATCATTTAAGACGTGAGCTTCAATAATTTGCCAGGATGTTTTTGCTTAACCTCTGTTGCTTGAACTTGCTTCCTCGTGACAAATGCATGGGATCATTTTATTAATTTATTGCGTCCGAAGTACTTTTCTGGTAATATCTTTATCATGAGGGTCAGGCGGGAGAAAACAACAGTACATTTCACCTGTTGGTACTCTAGTATCTATCTTCTTTCAATTTCTTGTGCCTGTTTTTTTTATCAACACCAGGTTAGACTTTTCATTTTCAAAACATGTTTATCCGCCCCTCCTCCCCCGTTCAAAATACGATACTTTTATTAATGGTGACCCCTTTATGATAAACAATAATTAAAAAATATATATATGGCATACAGCTACCGACGAAAACAACAAAATTAAAGGCTCCTGACTTATAACAAGCCAATATATTCGAGTGATACTCCCCCACTCACACCTGGGTAGTGTAAAATCAGTTCATAAGAACAGTGTTGTCTTTTACATGAAACCACGTAAAACATTGGTAAAGCGTTTTTTTCGGTATAAATAATCGAGAAATTAAGAAGGTAACAAACAAATCAAATATTAAAATTTAAACATTATTCATGCAATAACTACAACGTGGATACAGTAGAATGATGATAGAACGGTCATTGATTGATTGATTGATTGATTGATTACTTGATTGATTAAAAAAGGGATTTCTTATGTTACTTCGAACGAAAGTCATAACCATTTGAGAATTCTTTGTTTGTTGTTGTTATTATAATAATTATTTGTATTGTCGTCTTAATTTCACCAAAGAAACTTTACATTAAATTTTGCCTTTGTACAAAGTTTAATTCATAAACTTCTTGAAACTCTTCAATGGCCGTCTGATTACAATTGGACCTGTTAGAATGTGAAATATGAACATTTATTTGGCCTTCAATGCCTCAGCTCTTTTCATGTGGGTATCCAATTCGTTCAGTTAGAGATCGATTTTGACAATTATTCTGCAAATAAGCATAGATTTCTGATAATTGTTCTGCATAAAACCCTATTGGAAAGCACATTGACATAATTTTCTGGACGTTTTTGGAACCCAATGACATTGCATAGTGTTGCAACCTGTAATGTGAAGATGTGTATAACATTGCGGAAGTTATGGATTGGGAACTCGGTCTGGTCAAACCAAAGATTTAAAATTGGTTTTTGCTGCTTCTCTACAAGCACGCAGCATTAATAAGTAAAGCAGAGAATGGTCATCTGGCGTCTTTCGTTCGTCGTCGTCGTCGTTCGTCGTCGTCCGTTAACTTTTACAAAAATCTTCTCCTCTGAAACTACTTGGCCAAATTTAAACTAACTTGACCACAATCATTATTAGGGTATTTACAGATTCTTATTTTGGGGTCCGTATTCAATTTGGTCCACATGAAGGTCCAAAGGGTGCAAACTTAACCAGAAATTGTATTTGAACAACTAATAGAAAGTGTAAGTAGATTCATATAGTTAAAAATATATATCGCATTAAATATTAATTTTATAGAAAAAATTATGTTTAAGAATAGTTAAAAATTTTCTATTCAATATTAGATATTTTACAAAAAATAGTTCAAGGTAAGTTGATGTAATTAGATTTTAGATATTGGACCACATTCTGTACGTGCCTGTCCCAAGTCAGAAGCCTGTAGTACAGTGATTGTCGTTGGTTCATGTCTGTCATATTTGTTTTTTCGTTAATTGTTTTGTTAAAAATTAGGTTATTATTGTTTTCTCAACAGTATTGTTTCATATTTTTCATGTTGTAGCCTTTTATAGCCTACTACTAGTATATGCTATGGGTTTTCTAATTGTCGGAAGACTTACAGTTACCTTTAATTGCTTACATCTACTTTACTTGAACCTTGGTGGATAGATGTCTCATTGGCAATT